TATATATAACCTTCAAAATTTTATCATCTCCTTTTGTTAAACTAATTTTTAAAATTAGCATCTCTTTTTATCTACAGAATGATATAATATATCATCATATTTCTTTTCGCCATATAATTTTTTTTTTCTTTCCACTCTATCTTATTACATGTTATTTTCTTATGCAATATTTAACTTTTTAAAATTATTTTTAATAATCCCTCACATATTATTATTTTTGGTCCCTTTCTCCAACCTTGTCTCTTACCTTATATTTTTAGACTTATTATATACATATCCATATCATTTAAATATACTCTCTTTAATTTTCTAGCTAACGAGTGTTACTCTCATTAAATCATTTCATATGTAAATTTATTTATTTAAACTACTTATGACTCCAAATTTTAATGAATAAAGTTGGGCCTTAAAAAAAAAAAAAAAAAAAGCCCACCAAATTAATAATTCTGTTGAATCATAGTTGTGTTGTGTACGCGCTTAGAGTGCGAAACATTTAACAATTTGAGTCCAAGGTAAAAAAGTAAGCAAATGGTAAAAGAAAGTCGATTTAGGAGAGAGAAAAGGTTGGGGGGGGGGGGGGGCGGGGGAGGTGGTGTCTAACCCTAATCCTAACCCTAGATGGGCCCATGCCTCGAAAAGAGAGTAATAAATGCTAGGAGCAGAAGGACACAGGACTTTTTTGGCAGGACAGAAAAGATGGATGTGAGAGGAGATTAAATCATTTTGTAATCGATTGCTTTATGATTGAAGGGGATGAGAGAGAAAGTATTAGATAAAAAAAAAAAAAAAAGGTAGCAGTAGGAGAGAGAAAGTAAGAAAAAGAAAGTGAGTGATTTTTGCCTTTTGCCTTTACTTTTCCAAAGGACAAAAGTGAAGAAGGGTGTGGTGTTATTACAAAGAGCCATGATGACACTATGATAAGCATGTTGCGGGAATCGAATGGTGGTCTCATTACAACAGTGGTTTTTATTACTGCATGGGAACCACTCTGCCCGAGGCAGTAGGGACGGTCAAGAGAGAGAAAGTTAAAAAGAGTTTTTAGAGAGATAGAGAGAGAATTGGGTGAGACGTCTGAATGAGCTTTCACATCTTGCCCGGTTAAGGGACCTGCGTGGTAGAGGCTGACATTGTCCTTCACGAAAGTCGCTGACCGTATTGTCTACCCCGCATTTAAAGCGCGCGGTGTGTAGTATTAGTAGTAGCAGAAGAATTGTCAGTATGTATGTGCGTATGGTGTGTGTGTGTATATATATATATATATATATGTATGTATGTGTATTGTATATATATATGTATGGTTGTATTATAAAATTTTGTAGTACTGTGTTGTGCTGTGGGCCCATGTCTGAATGGTTAGGCAAGCTAAATTTAAAGTGGGTCCAACTCACTTTCTATGTTACAATTCAGGGGCTGTTTGGTTGACTCTTGAGATTGGAAATGGATTCAAGTTGGGTGGCCAGAATAAGATCGAATGTGAGATTTTGAGTTGGTTCCAGCTATTACATTGGTTTGTGGGGTTGTGAAATTTTCAAACAGTGCTTTGGAGTTCAAGTTTGTTTTGTCTATTAACTCAAGCCCAACGTCTTCAGAGGCTTTGTTGTGATTTCATTTCAAAAAATTCGTAAGAAGCCCAAATCAGAAAATGAAGACGATTTATATTACTTTTTAGCAATTGCCTTTTCAATTCACTAGTTGATTTCCAAATGACTATTTTATTTTTTTATTTTTTATTTTTGGTCAATTGACATTTTGGGGAGGGAAGCTTTGAGTACTTAGGTCAGGATGGGTTGTTTTACCTGACCCATTAACTATAATGGTACGTCAATAACATTCAGGTTTAAGACTCGCTGTTAATTTTTACTTTCATATTATAATAATTTATAGAATTGTTTTCTATTTTTACCTTTTTTTGATAGGTGATTAGGTTTGTGTGAGGCTCTCCAAAGATTTGTTGTGCTTGGGCTTGAATATTCAGCTCGTTTATTAAATGGGTAAAAGGTTGCCCAAATGCCCATCCATACCTTGGCTGATATTGAATCCAGGGCCAGTGGACTGGCTACGTCTCAAAAGCCCATTAATTTAATCATCACACAGAAACCCCCACCCCCTCAAGTCTCTCTCTGCGGACTCGCCTCTGCTCGCAGGGGACTCCATCTTGGGCAATAATCAGGCGTAATCTTTCTATCAGGTAATTCGTCTTTCTCTGTTTCTTTTTTTCTTGCTCTGTTTTTTCTTTTCTTTTTCTTGTTAAAATTTTTTTTATTTTTATTTTTTTGTAAACATATTTATTTCTTTTTGTGCTCTGTTCTGCCATTCAAAAAAACAAATTATGTTTTTGCCTTTCAAGAAAATAAATTTGTGCTCTGTTTTATATTTATGGTTATTGGATGCCGGTATAGCAGATGGATTTACTTTTTATATTTGATATTAATTTAAGAATATTGATATAACTTATGAGATATGAATATTTTATGCTAGTTTAAAATTTCAATTGTGTGCCTCACTTCAGCGCCTGCCTCGTGAGGCACGCCTAGGCTCCAAACCATCTCTAGAGCCTTGGTGCGCCTTGAGCCTTTAATAACACTGCTGACAATGGTTCAATTTCTTTTTTCTTGCTTCCCCTTCAATTTGTTAGTACTTTTTGATTCTCAACAGAAATTGAATACTAAGGGGCAAAGCTGGCTCATAAATTGAGCCCTAGTTTAAGATGATAGAATGATAGAATGCTACTTATTCATGATTTTTATCATAACTTGTTTACTAAATTTCTTCTCTCTGCATCAAAGTTGCAAGATATAATAATTTATTTTCTTGTCCTTCTTCTTCTCTCGCATGTTTTTGTTAGCTGCGATGGCTGAAGAAGCTGGTATGTTTACGGTACATCAAAGCATCGGTAATGTTTTGTGTTGCAAGTGTGGTATTGCAATTCTACCAAATGCTGCAAATATGTGCGTGACGTGCTTCAAGTGCAGCGTTCTGAAGTTGACATCACTGAAGGTTTACAAAAGCATGTCACCATCATACACTGCCCTGAGTGTGATACCTATTTGCAGCCACCAAGAACTTGGATTAAAGCCCAACTAGAATCAAAGGAGCTCTTGACATTGTGTGTGAAGAGATTGAAGAATTTGAAAAAAGTTAGGTTGGTACATGCTGAATTTCTTTGGACTGAACCCCACTCAAAAGAGAATTAAGGTCAATCTGAGGATACCAAGAGCAATAATTTCAATTATAAGTACAATATTTTCTGTTGAAATCTGCCCAATTTGCCGTGAGGACCTGATCTGTCTCCCCCCAAAAGTTGCAAATAGCTTGGGAAATCTTGGTCCTCTTGTGATTTGCACGAAAGTGAGCAAGAGCATCGCTTTACTGGATCCATCTACTTTAAGGCACTGTTTCTTGAATGCTGACCAGTATTGGAGGATGCCCTTTACGTCTCTACTTTCTAGCAGGCGAATTGTAGAATACATAGCTCGTGTATGACTTTGGGAAGAATGATACAAGATTCCTGCAAGAACACATTTAGGCCATCTTTTAAACCCGGGGGATTATGCTATTGGTTATGACTTATATAGTGCTAACACTAATATTGAACTTGACAAGTACAAAGGCCAAGCTGATGCGATTTTAGTTTTCTTAAAAAATAGCTATGAAGAGAACCGCCAAAGGAAGCTTGGGAAGCCTCGTGCATGGAAGCTTAAATCTCTTAACATGGAAGTGGATGAATCTGCCAAAGGTAGAGTTGAAGAAGAGAAGATGAACGCCGAGTATGAACAGTTCTTGAATGACTTGGAGGTGAACCCTGATATGAGGTTTAATATCTCGTTATACCATAATAAAGAATACCAGCCATCAGAGATGTCTGTGACTGATCGAGAGGATGTGCCTTCCGTGCCTTTGGAAGAGCTGCTTGCTTATCTTGAATCAAGTGATTTGGAAGCTGAGGATGATAGCACGAGGGAGTGAAATTGAAGTTGTGTTTGTTGCTATCGGTGTTCAAATGGAAGTTAGTGGGTAAGAAATTTGCTTTTTCATTCTTGGAAGCCCCCTTTTTTTTCTTTTTCTTTTTTTTTTTAATTTTTCTTTCCTCAGATAACTGAAGTTGTTAGCTCAGAAGGTCTGTATATGAGACGAGCTGCATTTTCTTGTTTGCCGAGTCTGAGTGTGCCAGTGTGGAGATTTAAGTTTTGCTGGTTGTGCTCTCAAGATGAAGAAGGTCACCATTTTCTTTCCCTTTACTATGGTGCTTCAAATCGAAACAATGTTTCTTGCTTTTGTTCCTATTGCTGTTTATTTCCGTTTCTTCTTTTGACATCTTGATTCCACTCGGACATATGCCAAATTGTTGTTGGCTTCATATTCTCTTTCTAATACTTAAAGAGTATAGTCATTGGCCTCCATCTTTATAATTGTTGTATTTGTTACATGTTTCATGCAAAAGATCCGGACTGCAGTGGAGTGCAGTGAGAATTGATTTTCACCCGTTAACAGGTTGATTTTCACCCAAAAACTTGCAGGGCTTAGGTTTCTGTCATGCATTGGTTCCATATGTTCTTAAATATTCTTCACATTGTGTTGTAATGTAGGCACTTTGCACAACTCATAAAACAGAATTCAAGCTCTGGGACCTGAAGATATGGTGTGAGCTGGTTAGTTAGGCCCAATTTATTATTATTATTATTATTATTATTATTATTATTTAACCTACTTACCTTGTTTTCACTTCTATTAAATGAGGTTTATAAGTTTGTTTACAGGCTTTGAATATGATCAAATTCGAATAGGATGAGATTGTGGTGTTCCAATCTGACATGTATTTTGAGTCTCAGCCAATAATCCGATGGTTGAATTGCATCCGTATTTCGAACCTCGCAACCTTCCATTTGCTGGTGGTCTATCCACTATGGTAATTTCACCAAACACTTCTTGACACTATCATTAAATAAATAACAGGCTCACACCAGCCCACGTTTCATCATTTTAGCCAATCCTCTTCCACATTGATATTTCATAACATTACATCATACTCTTCACTGTTCTTCACCTAAGAGGCAAAAGAAAAGCAGAAAGAAAATGGCTGATGATGAAAACCCAATAAATTTTGGCATAATGGGGTGTGCTGAGATTGCCAGAAAAGTGTCCAGAGCTATACATCTAGCTCCCAATTCAATCCTTCGCGCTATAGCTAGCCGTTCGATCGAAAAGGCGAAGCGTTTCGCGATCAAAAACAGTTTACCAGACGATGTTAAGATCTATGGTAGCTATGATGAATTGCTAGATGATCCATGTGTCGATGCCGTGTACATGCCATTGCCCACAAGTCTTCACCTACAGTGGGCAGTCTTGGCTGCTCAGAAGAAAAAACATATACTTCTAGAGAAACCAACGGCTCTTGATGTAGATCAGCTTGATCAGATATTAGAGGCATGTGAATCCAACGGTGTACAATTCATGGATGGGACAATGTGGTACCATCACCCTAGGACTGCCAAAATGAAGGCCTTGCTCTCTGATTCCCAGATTTTTGGGCAACTTAGATTTGTAAGTCTACTTTAGCTCCCTTCATTACCATTTATATTATTTTTGGGCAACTTAGATATGTAAGTCTACTTTAGCTCCCTTCATTAGCATTTATATTACTATGTGATTATACAAAGTGAATTATGATAAAATGTTTCTCATCCGTCTGATCTATATACTTTTTTTTTTTTTTTAATCTTCCTCATTAATCAAGTTAACTGCGTGAGTGCGTGTCACTTGTTATGGTGGGACACTTTCACTTCATGTAAAGGCTATTTTGCTCTTGACAATGCATGATCCGGTAGTTGGATCAGTTCCTTTCTGAAGATCTATTTGGTTCAAAAATAAAAAATTAGGGCTTGTTTGACAACCTTTTTGATTTGTGTTTTTGTTGCCAAATAGGTGAAAAAAGAAAAAAGAAAAAGGAGGAGGACAGAAGTGTATGTTTTTGCTACTGTATCTGAACAACCGTGAGAGATTCTTATAACAAAAATTCAATATTTTTTTACAATCATCCAAACCTTTTTTTTTTTTTTTTTTTTTTTCCCCCCTTTTCACATTGGGTGAAAATGACATATATTTGTATAATGTGTGTACAATAATTTTTACAATCACCAAAACAATTTTTAAAAACATTTTGTAACATTACCAAACATGTTCCTGATTCAGAATAAATCACAACACAATAAGAACATTGTCTTTGATTTATATGAAGTTGATGAAAACACAAAACAGAAATTGTTGCCAAAGGAGCCTTAAGCAATCAAGGCGTTGTTTTGGTATCATTTTGTTGGTCATTTTGAGGTAATTTTATTTATTTATTCCGATGAATTTGTTGGCCATTATTATTGAGTTGGTAGATGTCCAAGTTGTTTTGAATTAGTAGAAATTAGTATCTCTATTGATACATTATTATTAATGTTCTATTGGCATCTTACAAACATTTTCAACCCTTGTTTTTGGGGGGATAAGATCCACAGCTCGTCATCATTTGCACCATCTCCGGAATTTTTTGAGAAGGACATAAGGGTGAAAATGAACTTGGATGGTCTGGGTGCCCTTGGGGACGCAGGCTGGTACTGCATTGCAGCCATCTTGTGGGCAATGGACTACCATCTACCTACAACTGTAACCGCACTTCCAGCCATAGCCCGAAACTCAGCTGGAGTCATCTTGTCCTGCAGTGCCTCCTTAAATTGGGACAAACATGAAACAATCGCGACATTTTACTGCTCTTTCCTTTCGCATGAATCCATGGACTTGGCCATATCCGGCTCCAATGGATCGCTTCACATCAACGACTTCATAATTCCATATCAAGAGAATTCTGGTCCATTTAGTGTAACGTCTGGCGCAAAGTTTGTGGATCTTCACATTGGGTGGAATGTGAAACCTGAGATAGTTCAAGTGGCTACTGAGCTTCCACAAGAGGCACTCATGGTTCAGGAATTTGCTAGGCTGGTGAAGGGCATTAAAATTTCTGGGTCCAACCCAGATGGTAAATGGCCTGGGATTAGCCGAATGACTCAGTTAGTAATCGATGCAGTGAAGAAATCCATCGATCTAGGTTTTATATCTGTTTCTTTGTAATTATTTGGATATTATAAACCTACTATTTTTCAGCATGGAATGAAGCATCAAACATGAACAAATTCACCAGTGTACGTAAGAGAATTATATAAGTACTGAAGTCATAATCCATGATTGTTTATAGTAATTTTGCTTGCATACTCGATAAAAGTACATTATACTCATTCAAAACACTTCAAACGGAATTAGAGGAATTAGAATTTTGCTAATAACTTTCAAACTAATAAGTAAGTGAACTGTTTAGCTTTTTGCTGAAAAATTACAAGGTCAATGCGATTTAATTGTGTTTTTTTAGTTAATGCAATTTAATTTTTGTTTTTGATAACAATAGTTGAGAAACTTTTTCTTTACGCTGTTACTTAGAAAAGTGTCCTCAGGAGAGAAAATTTGTGACGTTAAAAAAAAGAAACATTGAAATTAAGCCAATATTAATTATTTTGGTAATCGATACCTATAATAAATTTGAAATTTGATATCTATTATAACATGCTCACATGTATGTATATCATTAAATTGACCGGAGCAATAGAGAGAAAACTACGCTAAAAATAATAATGATGATAAAGCTTGTTCATGGAAGATAATGATCAGGGGGTTGGTGCAAATCTAGTCGACATGAATAATAGGTTTTTTCTGATACAATGTTTCATTAGACATACCTTCCAAAAAAAAAAAAATGGTTTCAGTAGACATGCGCGGCTCAATGCACATGCTTGCGGTGATCCCTTCTCTTTTCTTGCTGGGGATATTCACCCACACAAATCTTTCCCACTCTATATCTTTTCCACAAAAACTAGAATAATCGTTCTAATTAACATGACGGTCATCTCAGGTTCCCAAGTTTACAAGCAGATTTTTGATCTGATTCGATTCGTTATAATTGGTATCACAGTGAAACTCAATCCTTGATCCAATATCACCCTAAGCGTTATAGGGTGGTCCGATCATAATAAGAGCGTTAAGAGTTTGGGTAGAACATAATGTTAGAGGTTTGTCCTACATCGAATGCGAATGAAAAATATGATGAATATAATGAGTTCGGTTTTAATTTCACCTAACAATTAAAATTTTTAAATCGAATCGCAAAACACTCCAGTCATTACGCTGCAAGTCTACAAGATTTTTGTAGTTGTATTGTGTTGTGGACTATAAAACACCGACACGTGGGAATGGGTTGTCGTACCAGTATCGAATACGTGTCCGACATGGACATGCGTGTCCTCTGCAGAGGTATCCTATTTTTTTATTATTTTTTTCCTGTCGAACACGGCAAAGGATACACCGGCAACACGCATAGGACACGGGATTAAGATTTTTTGTCAAAAAATAATAATATATAAATAAAGAGATATATACATGTATATGGTTGTGTGTATTCATAAAAAGACAGATTGAGTGGAGAGATGGAGGAGACGTGAAAGTTGGTTCCAGGATAAGAGAGAACTTGCACTTTCAAACTTTTGAAAATAGGTTTGCCATCAATTCCCCACTGCCATCTTGTTCCCTAAATATAAACACTTAAAAAAAGGTAATAAAAACCCGAGGAAAGAGAGAAATGATAAGATTGCAGGCTTATCTTTTAGAACCGGTTATAAGAATAATAATCCTATTCTTAGATATAAATATGTACATCCTTTTTTTTGTTTCTATTTTCAAGGTATTTGGCTCTATATTTTTCAAGAAAATAATGGGCCTAAAAGTTGTGTTTATTAAATATAAATTAGAAATTGGGTAAAAATAAATAAATAATTATATATATATATATATATATATATATATATATATAATTTTATTGTCGTATCTTTCTTGTGTTCGTGTCTTATTTTTTTAAAAAATTTACCGTATTATAATATCCGTATTGTATTATACCCGTGTCCCGTGTCCATGCTTCATAGGTTGTGGACCAAAGTTTAAATGGTTAGGCAATTCAGGGGCTGTTTGGTTGACTCTTGAGATTGGATATGGTTTTGAGTTGGGTGGCCAGAATTGGCTGGGTTCAGTTCAAGTTTGTTTTGTCTATTATATTGGGTTAATTGACTCAGGCCCAATGTGTTGTATACAACATTTACAGCACAATACTAACATTCAATATATAGATTTCCATTCTACAACTTTGTCGGCTGATTTCATCATTTCAATTACTTCTCGTTGATTTTAATGTGTGGTACATTCTTGGACGAGGGTAGTACAAGGATGGGTGACTCTTGAAAAGTCCTCGCACTGCACTTCTTTTAATAACAAAGGATCTAGACCCAAAACAAATTCCTAATAAAACAGACAATAAACATGTGACCCTGAAAAGTCCTCGCATTGCACCCCTTTTAAAAACAAAGGATCCAGACCCAAAACAAATCCCTAATAAAATAGGCAATAAACATGTGACATTGAAAAGTCTTCGCATTGCACCCTTTTTAAAAACAAAGGATCCAGACCCAAAACAAATCCCTAATAAAACAGGTAATAAACATAACGCTTAAAACACATCGCATGCCAAACGGGTCCTAAAAATTTGGGTTGGGCAAGTACATTGGACCATGCTTCAGTTAGAAGTTCACTTGGTTTTGTACCAAGCCTAAGGCCCAATATGTGTCTCTACACCAACTTTTTATGAAAAGCATGTGGTACGTCAATAACATTCAGGTTTATGAATCAGTGTTAATTTTGTGGCTAAAATAAATAAATAAATAATCGGTGTTAATCTTGGCTTTCATATTATAATTTTAATTTTCATATAATTGTTTTCTATTTTACTTATTATTATTATTATTATTGGTGATTAGGTTTTTGTGTGAGGCTCTCCAAAGATTTGTTGTGCTTGGGCTTGAATTTTCAGCTAGTTTATTAAATGGGTATAAGCTTGGCCCAAAAGCCCATCGCTTGAATGATATTGGATCTTTTCACAATGGACTGCTACGTCTTAAAAGCCCAAATACTAATATATCCAAATGTCGTCATCATCATCATCATCATCAGTTCATCCGACACATTGTCTCTCTCTCCGCGGACTCGCATCTGCTTGTTGGGGGCTCCATCTTGGGCAATAATCAGGCGTAATCTTTCTATCGGGTAATTCTTCAAAACCCTAATTCATAAGTAATCTATCTAAACGAAGCACCTGATTTTTCCTTCACTTTTCCTATACTTATGAATTAGGGTTTTGAAGAATTACCTGATATATATATATTTTTTGTAATAATTTATTGAAAGAGAGAGAACAACTACGACCATCTAGAGGTTAGATATTTGCCTAATACTCGTGATCTTGATTCTTCTTCTTTTTTACTGTTTCTTCTCAGCAACTAAGTATGTTTAATGAAGATTTTTATTCTCATATGCGCTCTGCTTATATTCAATCATGCTTGTTCCTATAAAATTTATCTAGCATGTTGTCCGTGATTTTTGGTAATCAGATTAATATTTGTCATCTATATAACTTAATCCTGAGATGGATATATTGGAAATTATGTGATTGTTTGGTTCAATTTTGTGAAAACTGAAAATAATTTATACAGAACAAACAAAATTAGTTCTCTAAAAAACTTTATTTATTTATTTTTTTAAACTCATTTTTTATAATTTAGTTTTATAAAAACTGTTGATCAAATGAGTTTTCATTATATTTTCTAATTCTTGCAACTATCTTTTGAGATGAGTCCCCTCGCCATTTTTTGGGTCTAAAATACTTAATTTAACAATTATGTTATTAGCAAATTATATTATTGTTCAAATTGTTTGCTTAATATGTTTAGAAGCATAAAACTTATCCACAAAAAAAAAAAGTTTAGAAGCATAAAATGTGGTTCGACGTTGCTTATACCAAAATTCAGCTTCTGTTAATAAACCTTACTTTGTTTTTCAGTATAGTATATTGATTGAAATGTTTGGCAAAAATAAAGTTGAGAGAATTTGAAGTTTAATAAATAATGGATTGAAAATGAATAATGATGGAGATAAACTGTTTCATATACTTTATTTCAATAAGCAGTATGAATTATGCGATATGATTTCAAAAATGAGTTCCTTGGCAGGAAACAGTATACCTGAAGTTAATTAGGAAGTCCACTTGAAACCAACTGTCCTACATGTTGGTGTTAAAATGAAAGGAGAAGGGAAAATGAATATTACATATCAGATGACTGACAGTTCTTATTTTTTTTTTTTTTTGGTCTTACTTCCCCTTCAATTTGTACATACTTTTTGATTCGCAACAGAAATTGAATACAAGGGGGGCAAAGCTAGCTCTTAAATTGTTAAGATGATAGAATGCTGCTTTTTCATGATTCTTATCATAACTTTTTACTAACTTTCTTCTCTCTGCATCAAAGTTGAAAAATATAATAATTTCTTTTCTTATTTTTCTTCTTTTTCTTCTTCTTCTGTCGCATGTTTTTGTTTGCAGCAATGGCTGAAGAAGCTGGTATGTTTACGGTACATCAAACCATCGGTAATGTTTTATGTTGCAAGTGTGGTATTGCAATGCTACCAAATGCTGCAAATATGTGTGTCAAGTGCTTACGTTCTGAAGTTGACATCACTGAAGGTTTACAAAAGCATGTCATCATCATACACTGCCCTGAGTGTGATACCTATCTGCAGCCACCAAGAACTTGGATTAAAGCCCAACTAGAATCAAAGGAGCTCTTGACATTCTGTGTGAAGAGAGTGAAGAATTTGAATAAAGTTAGGTTGCTACATGCTGAATTTATTTGGACTGAACCCCACTCCAAGAGAATGAAGATCAAACTGAGAGTTCAGAAAGAGGTTCTGAATGGAGCAATACTCGAACAAGCTTATATTGTTGAGTACGTTGTGCAAGAACAAATGTGTAAATCTTGTTCTAGGGTACAGGCCAACCCCGACCAGTGGGTCGCTGCAGTGCAGCTACGTCAGCATGTTCCTCACAGGCGAACTTTCTTCTATTTGGAACAGGTAATTCTTAAGCATGATGCTGCAGCCCGTTCGATAAGAATTAAGCAGATGGATCAGGGTATTGATTTCTTTTTTGCTAATCGGAGTCATGCTGCAAAGTTTGTGGACTTTCTGGGCAAAGTTGCTCCAATAAGGAGTCGTCATGACAAACAACTCATATCTCAGGATACCAAGAGCAATAATTACAATTATAATTATACTTTCTCTGTTGAAATCTGCCCAATTTGCCGTGAGGACTTGATCTGTCTCCCTCAAAAAGTTGCAAATAGCTTGGGAAATCTTGGTCCTCTTGTGATTTGCACAAAAGTGAGCAACAGTATTGCTTTACTGGATCCGTTTACTTTGAGGCACTGTTTCTTGGATGCTGACCAGTATTGGAGGATGCCCTTTAAGCCTCTACTTTCTAGCAGGTGGATTGTAGAATACATAGTATTAGATGTGGAGGTTGTCCCTTCAGAAGTTAACATTGGTGGCTCAAAATATGTTTTAGCTGATGCCCAAGTAGCTCGTGTATCCGACTTTGGGAAGAATGATACAATTTTCTCTGTAAGAACACATTTAGGCCATCTTTTAAACCCAGGGGATTATGCTTTTGGTTATGACTTATATAGGGCTAACAGTAATGATATTGAACTGGACAAGTACAAAGGCCTTGTCCTCCCTGATGCAATTTTAATTAAAAAGAGCTTTGAAGAGAAGCGCCAAGGGAAGCATGGGAAGCCTCGTGCATGGATGCTTAAATCTGTTAACATGGAAGTGGATAACTCCGCTAAAGGTGGTAGAGTTGAAGAAGAGAAGATGAACTCAGAGTATGAACAGTTCTTGAACGACTTGGAGGAGAACCCTGATATGAGGTTTAATATATCGTTATACCATAATAAAGAATACCAGCTATCAGAGATGTCTGTGACTGACGGAGAGGATGTGCCTTCTGTGCCTTTGGAAGAGCTGCTTGCTGATCTTGATTTAAGTGATTTGGAAGTTGAGGGTAGCACGAGGGAGTGAATTGAAGCTGTTTTTGTTCCCATGGATGTTCTAAAATTTACTAGAAGTTAATGGGTAAGAATTTTTATTTTTTCTTGCAATCCCCATTTTGTGTGCTTTTAGACATGATATCGGAAAACTTACCTTCTTAGTGAAGTATATGATTACTATACTAGCTGCTTTTATTTGATTATTTATTTTTCTTTCCTCCTCGGATAACCGAAGTTGTTAGCTCATGAGCTCTATTTTTGAGTTATCCTAGACTAGATCTAGATTTTTAATGCTTTGAAATTTGTTGAGCAACTTATTTCTTAATTCATTTATATTGATGCTTACATCCTCTTTAACTGACTTGTCACAGTTCACAGTCATAAATGCGCACCCAAGGCTTTGGCATCTGTATATGAGACAAGCTGCATTTTCTCCTTTGCTGAGTCTCAGTGTGGAGATTTAAGTTTTGCTGGTTGTGTTCTCAAGATGGAGGTCACCATATGCTTGCCGTTTAGTATGTTGCTTTCAATCGAAACAATGTTTCTTGCTTCTGTTTCTCTTACCGTTTTATTTCTATTTCTTCTTTTGACATGTATGTGAAGGTCTTTGTAAAATAGCATCTTGATACACTTGGACATATGCCAAATTATTATAGGCTTCATATTCTTTCTCTAGTGGAAAATAGTCTGAATACTTAAAAGAGTATAGTAATTAGCCTCCATCATTATAATTGTGGCATTTGTTACATGTTCTATGCAAAGAATTCGGACTGCGGTGGAGTGCAGTGAGTTTTGGTTTTCACCCGTTAACAGGTTGAATCATATATTCTCAGTCCCTAAGACTCTGATTGGAATCTCCACGGATTCAAAAACTTGCAGGGCTTAGGTTTCTGCCATGCATTGGTTCCATATGTTCTTAAACATTCTTCACATTGTGTTGTAATGTAGGCACTTTGCACAACTCATAAAACAGAATTCAAGCTCTGGGACCTGAAGATATGGTGTGAGGTGGGTTAGTCAGGCCCAGATTTTTTTTTTTTTTTTAACCTACTTAGCTTGTTTTTAACTTCTATTAATGGGATTTATAAGTTTGTTTACAGGTTTTGAATATATAACTTACCATCCAATCTCAATTCACAATCAGTTTGAACAGATTAGTCAAATTCATTAGCTTAGCAATTCCTTAAGCTTTATTAGAAATTTTATGTAATTATATATAGATGGATTACGTTATTGTTTTGTCGAATGCACAGCCCCAGAAAAACCAAAACTGCCATGGTCCTTTTATGCCTTGGCCTGGTCTATCCACTATAGTGATTTCCCCAAACACTTCCATCATTAAATAAATAACAGGCTCACACCAGTCCACATTTCATCATTTTAGCAAGTCCATATTGATACTTGTAGTACCTAACATTTCATCATACTCTTCAGTCTTCCCCTATGAAACAAAAGAAAAACCCAGAAAGAAAATGGCTGATGAAAACCCCATACATTTTGAGATTGCCAGAAAAGTGTCTAGAGCTATACATCTAGCTCCCAATTCAATCCTTCGCGCCATAGCTAGCTGTTCGATCTAAAAGGCGAAGCGTTTCACGATCAAAAACAGTTTACCAGACTGATAAGATTTATAGTAGTTATGGTGAATTGCTAGATGATCCATGTGTTGATGCTGTGTACATGCCATTGCCCACAAGTCTTCAACCTAAAGTGGGCAGTCTTGGCTGCTCAAAAGAAGAAACATATACTTCTAAAGAAACCAACGGCTCTTGATGTAGATCAGCTTGATCAGATACTAGAGGCATGTGAATCCAACGGTGTACAATTCATGGATGGGACATTGTGGTACCATCATCCTAGGACTGCCAAAATGAAGGCCTTGTTCTCTGATTCCCAGATTTTTGGGCAACTTAGATATGTAAAACCGTACTTTAATTAGCTGCCTTCATTAGCATTTATATTACTATGTGATTATACAAAATGACCAATTTTATGATTAGATATTCAGATGTTCCTTATCCCTCTGATGATAAACTACTTTCTGTTATATTTCCCAATCATCCATTAAGTGTGCTGATTAAAATTGTCACTGCTTGATATGGTGAGACAATTTTCAGTTCATGTAAAGGCTATTTTACTCTTGACAATGCATGATCTGGTAGTGGATCAGTTCTATTCTGAAGATCTATTTGGTTCAAAAACAACAAATTTAAGCAATCAATGCCTTGTTTTGGTATCAATGCCATGTTTTGGTATCATTTTGTTAGGTAACCTTGATTCTGTTGTATTTTTTCTGTTATTTTTCTGATCTGTTGGCCATTTTCGGAAAGTTTTTAGAAAGAAATACTGGTGAAAATGAACTTGGATGCTCTCGGTGCCCTTGGGGACCCAGGCTGGTACTGCAATGCAGCCATCTCGTGGGCAATGGACTATTGTAACGGGTAGACACTTATCCATTTACTTAAAAGCTTAAATTATTGGGTAGTATTGCGTATCTACCCATTTATACTCATTCATTTTCCCATCCAAAACTCAGAGTTAACTTGTCTTGCAATGCCTCCTTAAATTGGGATAAACAATTGCGACATTTTACTGCTATGAATCCATGGACTTGGCCTTTATCCGGCTACAATGGATCTCTTCACATCAACGATTTCATAATTCCTTATCAAGAGAATTCGGTTGGTTTAGTTTCACCTCTGGTGCAAAGTTTGTGGATCTTCACATTGGGTGAAATGTGAAACCTGAGATAGTTCAAGTGGCCACTGAGCTTCCACAAGAGGCACTCATGGTTCAGGAATTTGCTAGGTTGGTGAAGGGCATTAAATATTCTGGGTCCAACCCAGATGGTAAATTGCCTGAGATTAGCCGAATGACTCAGTTAGTAATCCATGCAGTGAAGAAATTCATCGATCTTGGTTTTATATATGTTTATTTGTAATTATTTGGATATTAAAAGCTTACCTCTTTCGCATGGAATGAAGCATCAAACATGAACAAATTCACCAGTGTTAGAGATGAAATCATAACCCATGATTGTGTATAGTAATTTGCTTGCATATTATTCTTCATTGATTAGATAAAAGCACATAATATTCACAACACTTTAGAATTTTGTTAATAACTTTCAAACTAATAAACTGCTTTACCAATGGATAACATGTTTTTGGTTAATACAATTTAATTTATCTTTATACAATTATGATTTGTTGCTAACCCCATGCTTCTAGCGTTGCATAAATAATAGAAAGTGTGATAATGGATTGACAATATATAAATAATTTACTATTTTTAACAATAACGGATGGGAAAAAATTCTCTCCAAACATTCTTTCATTAGATGATGCCACCTTTCCAACATAGTTTTGTGCCAAGTCAGTGTCAGGCCAGCAAGTTAAAAAAATTACTCATCAGTACTTTATTTTATCATATATACAAATACCACTTTATAAGTTATACTTTATACGTATAATAATATATTATTGTATAATTTAATTATATCTTTTTATTTAAATAAAAATACCATTTTTTACTTCTCTTCTGTATTCGGAAAGAAATCATTCACTGGTTTGCGAAAAAAAAAAATAATCTTTGCTATTCTGTTCTTCCCTCTATTTGGTATCGTCTATTCTTCTTCCGGAATATGTCTTATTTTGTTTCTTTAAAGAGGAGCTCGTTAATCACAAAACATCACTTTATGCAATGTGTTCTGGATTTGCTTTACGTTTGGTCTGTTTTGCTTCTTTCAAACTTAGTTTTGATAGGAGGGAGTTTTCATTTCATTTGGATGTACTTTTTGAAGGAAGGTTTTCTTTCTTTCTTTTATGTGCTCATGAAGTAAGAGTTAAATTCTGTAGTGTTATGACTTATATATATATATATATATATATATTAAATGGAAAAAAGGGTGGGATTTTTTTTATTGAAAAAAAAAATGATGGGACCCACTACTTTATTCATTTGTGGCTAAGAGGCATTTTGGCCTCACCTTTCTCTCTCTAATTCTCTCTTTCCCGGCAGTTCGGTCATTTCCTCTCTTTATTTTCATTTTTTTTTTTTTTTCATTCAAAGTTTCAAGTCTTGATTAATCTTCAAGTGGGTGTAAGCAATTCCAGTTTTGGTGCATCCTAAGATTTGTGAAATATAGGGTTCAAATTGGGAGTTTTCATCATTTTGAGATATGGATGCTCTAATATACAGTTTCTTAGATTTCTTGTGAAATTTTCTTTTAATTAGACTCTAAGCATGCTTAAATTTAATTTTTCTTGATTATGTTTGTTGTGGTTGTTATTTAAGTGATAAAAGCATGCTAGGTGTTAAGTGAGCTTAGAAATATAATTAAACCTTTTGTGGTGAATAAACATGCTTAGTGTTGATATATTATATGCCTATGTTTTCAAATTGTTATGAAAAGTGATGTAGTAATTATGAAAATGAATGATTATATTTTATGCTTTATCTATTTAAGTTGTTGGATTTGCTAATTGAAAGTATATAAAAAGCCATGATTTAGAAAGCATGAGAATATAATATTGTGTGATAATTCATATTTTAAACATACTTAAATGATGTGGATGAAATGTAGGAAATATCTATATTGTCATGACATTAAATAATTTGCATAGCTCATGCTTTATCATTGGGAAAGTAAAAAAGGGAAAAGTTTGTTTTAAAAACAAATGAAATTGTTTTTGGAAAAAGTTTTTGAAAAGTGTTGTGAATACCCGAATGCCTAGGAAACGCCTAGTGGTCCGTGGTGTTAGTGTGATCTAGAGGGAGGCTAAAGAAAGACTCTAGTGTAGTTGAGCTACCCAGGCCCAGATGACGCCATGGAGGTGCCATGTGGTCGGAGAAAGCTAGCCAACCCCTCCCTCGCGATGCCTTGGAGGTGCATTGAGTCGGATTACACTAACGGTTTAGAGAACTAAAACGGTATTGTTTTGGAAATGGGGAGCAACATTGCATGGCATGGCATTGCATTGGCATACATTGTACATTTGGTGGTTAGACGACTTGAGTATGCATTGTTGGTATTATCGTTGTTTTGCTTGTTTTTCCTGAAGCATGACCCTACTTACTTGTACTCTATTCCTTATGTGGATTCACGGGGTCATAAGAAGTGTATCTTAGACACTTCCTACTGAGCTTATGTTCACCCCTTTATTATTAACATTTTTCAGGATATGGAAGGGAAGTGGCGAACGACGCTCCTCCACAGGGTTCGATGAGTCAGTGAACTGTTTTGACATATTTTGTAACTATGATCTCTTTTTATTATTATTGCTATTACTATTTATTTTTTAAAATAAACCCTAGGATGAAACGTATATTATGTATTGACGTGGGAAAGGACGGTAGTGTCATTAGTTGACTTCGGGTTCGAATAAGGACCCGTTTGCGATTCGAACCTTTGAGTTAGAATCGTTACAAATTCATTAAAAAATGTAATATATATATATTATTTAGGGTAAAGTACAGTCACACCCCCAGAGGTTTGGCAAAATGACACTCAGATGAAACTTACCTGTTTTTTGGACAAAGACACCCCCTGAAGGTTCAAAAATGGACAAATACATCATTTACATGAGAAATTGACCAAATTACCATTTGACCGTTTACGAGACTTTTTTAACTTTACAATTTAATAAATTGGACCAATCTACCCTCATGAACAATTTATGCATTAAAAAAAAAAATTCCTTTATATTGTTCACTTTTTTTTCTTTTTTTTTTTTAATTATTTAGTTTATAAATGTCTCAATTTCTTAAAAATGTAGACGTCTAAAATGATTTTTTGATCCAATACATATATTTCAAATAAATTATATTTTGTTATTACTTCTTTTCTTTTTCTTTTTTATTTTTAAATTAAGATGCTTAATTCTTTCATCTAAAAAAATTAAACCAATTTCTTTTCCTTAAAAATAAAAAATATGGTACCAGTAAAACTTTATGCATCTTAAATTATATATTAAATATTATGTATTTCCCAACATAAAAGAAAATAGGTACCAGTATAACTTTATACATGCCTTTGTTTTTTGTTTTTTTTCCCTTTGTTTTATTATTATATTTTTCCCCCTTTTATGTTGGGAAATGCATAATATTTGATATACTCCGTATAATTTAAGATGCATAAAGTTATACTGGTACCATACTTTTTAATTTTTAAGGAAAAGAGATTGGTTTAATTTTTTTATGATGAAAAAATTAAGTATCTTAATTTAAAAATAAAAAAGAATAAGAAAAGAAGTAATAACAAAATATAATTTATTTGAAATATATGTATTGGATCAAAAAGTCATTTTAGAAGTCTACATTTTTAAGAAGTTGGGACATTTATAAAGTAAAAAAGAAAAAAAAATTGAACAATATAAAGTTTTTTTTTTTTTTTTTTTTTTTTTAATGCATAAATTGTTCATGGGGGCAGATTGGTCAAATTTATTAAATTGTAAAGTTAAAAAAGTCTCTTAAACGGTTAAAAGGTAATTTGATCAATTTTTCATATAAAATGGTGTCTTTGTCTATTTTTGAACCTTCAGGGGTTGTCTTTGTCCAAAAAACAAGTAAATTTCCTCTGAGTGTCATTTTGCCAAATCTCAGGGGGTGTGGCTGTACTTTACCCGTATATTTATATATTATATATTGAAGATGTATGTATAAATTGGAAATTTGGTAAATATAATTTAACTGTTTACTACTTCAGTAAGAAAATAACTCAAACATGGATAAAAGTAATAAAATATAGGGTTAACTTCAGTTACACCCCGTGAGGTATGTCCTAACTTCAAGGAGACCCCCCCACGTTTGCAAAATTTCAGTTAAACCCCTTACTTTTTCTGACACACATCAGTCTTCCCCCTCGGTCAACGGTCAAAGCTGGTCAGAGATATTTTTTGCTGACATCAGCAAAAAATTAAATTTTAATGCCCAAATTACCCTTCAACAGTTATGTTTGACTACATATTATCTATCTAACCAAACACTCCCCTCAAAACGCACACACACTTACTCTCTCTCTCTCTAAACTTTGTCTATCTGCAAACCCATTTCTCTCTCTAACCTCGAAGGTTTGGGCAGTTAATATAACATCTTTTGAAGTATGGAACATTATCAAGCACTAGTTCAATGACACCCTTGAGATATATTTCAATCTTATAAAGATCCAAATTCCGGAGTTCCAAGAACTTCAAGTACTTGTGATTAGAAATAATCTTAATATAGTCTAATCCAATACAAGAACACAGGCTCAAATTCTCCATGAACTCATAGTTACATATGATTCTGAAAAGACTCTCGGGGGTTACTCGGACCGAGTTTAGTTTTAGAGTTGTCAGATTCACACAACCTTCGAAAGCCGCAGCAATGGAATCGTCAACGCTGAGTTGGTACTTGTTGAGTTTGAGGACACAGAGAGTTCCACACCGGAAGAGACTCAACGGCAAGATGGACGACTCGAGATACTGTACAGTTCCATCATCTATGCAAGTGAGTCGGAGCTCTTCTATGGATTTGTTTACTTTGAGGCGATTGATCAGTTTAAGCAACAACGGCCAGTCTTCCGGGGAGTGAGAAATCCGGCAGACGGTGAGATTAGTCCTTTGAGACGACATGATGTGTTCAATGATCTGGAATGGAATTAAATCAAGTAGGTTCACATCTTCGACGTGGACGAGGTCGAAATCGAGGCGATGAATGGACCTCCACATGTGGCTCCACCAGCTAGACAAGATGGTGGTTGCTACGGCTTCTTTTGCCGGAAGCAGTGAGATTATTGAACATAATTTTTTGTTGTTATACAAGGAAAACAATAAATAAATAAATAAAAAGGAAAAACAAAAATTCTCTTTTTTGTTTTCCATTTCTTTGTATGAAATCAGTAAATCGATCTTCTACTTTAGGACACCATTTCTTTGATTAGCATTGCACCACATCAGTCATAAAAAGTAAATATGGACGGTTGTTGGCTATATATCAGTGAACCCCCTCTCTTTATATATATATTGATGGATTTGTGCTAAACTAGTTTGTAAAAAATGCAGAAGGTAGTCCAGCGGGAGAAAATGAGTGGTATTTCTTCTGCAAAAGAGGCAGAAAATATAGGAATAGCGTAAGACCAAATAGAGTCACTAGATTTGGTTTTTGGAAGGCAACTAGGTTTGGCGCAATGGCTCAAGAAGGCTCAAATGTGTTCTTTAATGATGGATTGTCTTGGCCGTTACAAATCAACAGTGAAGATGAACCGCACCAATGACGAAAGGATACGGTTGTAATGGAGGTGCTCGTAGAAGACGAGCTTTCCGGCGAGCCAAACCCAATTTTTTGTAACCCTAACTTTGCTAGTGAGATATGAGAGATGAGAGAGATGGACTGTTTGGTTCAAGAGATAAAGCTAACCCAGAGTTATAAAACATGTTTGGTTCAAGAGATTGACTGTTTGGTTAAGTGTATATACGAAAATGACAAAAGGGTAAATTAGTCATTTCATTTATTTATTTGTTTTTGTCAGCCGACAATGGCTGACAGGGGGTCTGACTAAAATTTTGCAAACATGGGGGGGTCTCCTTGAAGTTAGGACATACCTCAGGGGGTGTAACTGAAGTTAACCCTAAAATATAAATAATAAGGATATAGAACTAAGTCATTCTTTTATAATTCAAAATGTCAGATCTTTAATAAGAATGTAAGCTATAGAAGTGAAGGGAAGCATATTTCATGTGAATAGAAGGCTATTGTATTGAGTTTCGGAAAGACTTGGTGAAGAAAACTAGAATTAAAGCATCTCCAATGCTCTTTCATTTTGGGCTCTCAAACTCATAATTTGAGAGAGAGGTAAAAAAAGCTCTTCCAATGGCATTTCATTTGGCCTCTCAAATTTTCTCTCAAACGTAAGAGCTGGCAAATTTTTTTAGTAGCTCTCTAACACCAACCCCACCACCAATGCTGATAAACCATGCGATGTCTTTGCTCGGCCAAGCTCGGATTAGAGGAGTAGCTTTATCAGCCTCTGCAAGTGTGCAATTCAGCAACCCAAATCCACCATTGTTTTCCAATCGCCGTTCCAAGTTCTTCCCCAAAACCAAAAGATGCCTCAATTCCCTCACCGTTATTGTAAACGCTGACGCCGGTGGCGGCGCTCCTCCTGCCACCACCGCCAAATATAACCCTCATTTCAACTCTGACAACTTGATTTCATTCGTCGGCCAAGAAAGTGTTCCCTTGGAAGGTGTTATTCAGTTCGACAAGCCCAATTCACCTACTCTTATCAACAAGTGGGGGTACGCTTATTCATTCCACCCAACTCTCAATTTCATCTCTATTGCTACAAATATATACACACACACACACACACACACACACACACACATGGATATGTAGTTCAAATTATGTTATTGGGTTTTGTATATTCAGTCATGTGGCTCTGCTTGTTGGTGGGGATGTGTTATCTTTGCTTCTGTTCTTTGCAATCGGAAGGTTCAGCCATGGTTTTTCTGTTTTTGACACTGAAACCCTAAGAACGGCTGACCCTTTTGTAGTTGGTATATATGTGTGATTGTTGTATGTTCCTTTAATAATTATATAATCAAATATATAATATATATATATATATATATATATATATATATATACATATACAAATAGTGGTAAAAAAATTATAAAAATTTTGTTTTTTTTTTTTTTTTACCAGATATTTTAGATTTTTGCTTCTTTTTAATTAGGTTTAATTTTAGTTTCCTTTTAATGTCTATAACTTGACTTGGAATGTGCTTAATACTAATATTACTGATGCAAATATGAATGGTAGGAATGGTAATTGAAAAAGAATGGTAGTTGTGTAAAAAAAATAGCATTTTGCATGAAATGCACCATTGGAGCAGAATTGCTAAATTGTAACATTTTGACATTGTAACACCGGTCAAAATATAAATTTGGCATCCGAATTTAACTTTTAGTATTGGAGATATTCTTAGAAAGTATATTACAAGATTGGGATTCTACTGTACCATTTGGAGAATTTTTACTATTTGGTTAGTTGGTAGGAATCAAATGAGCTTCCACTCTATTTATTGCTTAGGATAACTCTCCAGTATTCTAGAATTGGATTCTAAAAAGTATATTTATACAATACTATATTATACAATACTATATTATTCTAGAGTTAGTACAATATACAATGCTATATTATTCTAGAATTCTAAAATATTCTAGGTAGCATGTATCATCATCCCATGAACCTGTTTGCTTCCTTGACTTGGAGGGACATTGAGTATAATAAATTTTTTTTTTTTTTTTCGGAATAGTAAATTTTAAATTGGACGTCTATTATATATATCATGTATATATTTCAAGAAATTGACCGGAGCAAAAGAGAGAAAAATGGCAGTAGGGTTATTATTCTGCAATAAGAAATTAAAAAGGTATTGCGAATTAAAGCACAATTGGGTCATCCTTAAAATATTAATAATAATAAAAATATATAAAATTTGATAAAGTCTTTTTTTTTTTTTTTTTTTGAAAGATAAATTTGATAAAGTTGTTGGTGCCGATCTAGTGGACAGAAATAGTAGTTTTTTTTATTTATTATTATTATTATTATTTTTTTTGATGCATTGATACAATGTTTCATTAAACAGACGCTGCTCTCACTCGCACACCTCTCTCCCTCTCAAGATCTTTTGGAGATGGTGATTCCCGCCATCTCCGTCTCAACAACTATTCTAACTAACATAACCGTCACTTCAGCCCCCAAAGTTCACAAGCAAAAACCCAAATCTCTCCGTTCAACCCTCAAGTCTCTCTCCAAATCAGGTAAATTGGACGAAGCTCTCTGTTTAATCGAATCCCTGCCGGTGAAACCTTCGGAAACCGAACCAGACCTCGAGGACTACTCTGCTATCCTTCATGCCTGCATCTCTAGAAAATCCTTAGAACATGGACAGAGACTATACCTTCATCTCCTTCTCTCCAGAGACAAACACAATCACAACCTTCTCAGCTGCCCAACCCTGAGAAGCAAGCTCATCACGCTCTACTCTGTCTGTGGCCGAGTCGATGAAGCCCGCCGCATTTTCGAAGATGGCGTTGATGCTGAACACGTTCCTGAGTCAGTGTGGGTCGCCATGGCAATTGGGTATTCGAGAAACAGGTTTCCAAAAGAAGCTTTACTTCTTTATTGTAACATGTTGTGCCGGTTCGTCCAACCGGGTAATTTTGCATTTTCGACTGCTCTAAAGGCGTGCTCGGACTTGTTTGAACTGCGGGTAGGCAGAGCAGTACACGCCCAGATCGTAAAGTCTGTCAAAGAACCGGATCAAGTTGTGTACAATGCTCTTCTCAGATTGTATGCGGAGTCTGGGTGTTTCGAGGACGTAGTCCGCGTGTTTGAAGAAATGCCTCAACGAAATATTGTTTCTTGGAATTCACTGATTGCCGGGTTTGTTAGGCGAGATCAGATAGTTATCGCCCTCGGTGCTTTTAGGAGGATGCAAGTTGAGGGAATTGGGTTTAGTTGGGTTACCTTGACTACGGTGTTACCGATCTGTGGTCAAGTAACGTCGCTATGTAGTGGCAAAGAGATACATGCCCAGATTGTAAAATCAATTGCTAAACCAGATGTTCTCGTGTTAAACTCACTTGTGGACATGTATGCAAAATGTGGGGCAATGGATTACTGTAGGCGAGTTTTCAGGAGAATGCAAAGTAGAGATCTGATTTCATGGAATACTGTACTTTCAGGGTATGCAATGAATGGGTGTATGACAGAAGCAATGGAGTTGTTTGATGAGATGGTTAATTCTGGATTTAGTCCAGATGGGGTCACCTTTATTTCCTTGTTGTCAGGTTGCAGCCATGCAGGCCTTACAGCTGAGGGGCGAAGATTGTTTGATAGAATGATTTTAGATTTCGGGATGTCGCCAACTTTAGAGCATTATGCTTGTTTAGTGGACATGTTAGGTAGATCAGGGAAAATCCAAGAGGCAATGGAGATAGTCAAAAGCATGCCTATGAAGCCGAGTGGCAGCATATGGGGATCGTTACTGAACTCATGCCGACTTTATGGCAATGTTTCTCTTGCAGAGATTATTGCAAAGCAGCTGTTTGAGCTTGAACCAAACAATTCGGGGAATTATGTGATGCTATCCAACATTTATGCAAATGCAGGGATGTGGGAGGGTGTTAGGATGGTGAGAGGGATGATGGAAAAGAGGGCAATCAAGAAAGAGGCTGGATGCAGCTGGATACAGATAAAGAATAGAATACACACTTTTCTGGCTGGTGGGGGTTTTGAATTTCGTAATTCAGATGAGTACAAGAAAATATGGGACAAACTGAAGGAAGCTATGGAAGAAGTTGGATATGTCCCAGATACAGGAGCTGTGCTTCATGATGTAAACGAAGAAATAAAAGCAATGTGGCTATGCGGGCACAGTGAACGACTTGCAACAATGTTTGGACTCATTCACACTGGGTCTGGAATGCCAATTAGAATCACAAAGAATCTTCGTGTCTGTGTAGATTGTCACTCCTGGATGAAGATTGTATCACGAGTTACAAAGAGACTGATTATTTTGAGAGATACAAATCGCTTCCACCATTTTGACAAAGGGACTTGCTCTTGCAAAGATTACTGGTGATTGCACAATTATAGCTAAGTATGATTCTTGCTTTTGTTTCGTTCTTTAATATTTCAGGCTCTTTGCATACATGTTCAGACTCAGACCTTGTATCTATTTGTGCTTTCATAATGAAAATATCATAAATCACAAAAATAATCAAAACAAAATTGTCTCGACAAAATGACTTGGAGAGGATCCGTTTCCTTTACAATAAAACAACATTCGTAATTCAAAAAAATAATCAAAACATAACACAATTTTACGTAAAGGTATATTAGTTGTTACGAGGAGAAGGCTGAGATTTCTTAAAATTAACTGTCCTTCTAAGTGAAAATTGATTATTGGAAGTGAATATAGATAACATATAAATGAAGAAACCAAAACTTTGAGGTATAAGCTACAAATTATGACGACGAGGCCGGAGATCATATCTTCTTGTAATTAAACTAGTTGCAACCGAATTCTCTCTCACTTCCTCTGGAAGTAAATAGTCAGGAAGTAAATAATCAGGGTCTTCAACAATGTTCATGTCTTCTGGTAACTCGGTATCGATCCACGAAGACCAGCTCACATCGCTATCCACGTCCCACAACTCATCTCTTTTACTTTGCATGTCATTAACCTTCTCAATTAGTGTTCGTAGCATCTGATGGTTCAACGCTTCATAGTCCCTGCATAATTTTCAAAAGAATATATTTAGATAGATTATCCAGAAATGCATCTTTTAACCAACAATTTACATGATTGAAAATCTGGTTTCTACCTGTATGTATAAATGGCATGTAGAAGCTGGACTGATGCAAGAAGCACAAAGAGTAACCGGACCAGACTTACCATCCATGTCTGTCGTTCAATACCATATGTTGCATACCGGAGGATTGCGAGTTCAATCGCGAATGTAGCACATAGACCTGAAAATGAAAATTTTTAATAACCAACAACCTAAAGCTAAAAAACCAATCCACAGAGCAGGTTTTAAAATATAAAAAGAAGATATGTGTACCTATATAAAGCCTAGGTCTCACATTGTATGTTTGCTTTGTACTAGTGAACACGTAAAGGATAAAGATTGATATAGAGTACACGAACAAAGCTCTGAAGAATCGTGATTCGAGCAACATAGTATTGAGCAAAGCTAAGATCTTTTCTATGGTAACAAACATGCTTGCTTGCTTGCTTTCAAAAGCTTCCTGTAAAATAGAGGAGATTGCAGCAGAGGAAGTGTTACTACAAGTAATATAAGAATAAACAACTTAATTACAACAATTAAAGAGATAGCACTAACCTGAGCTGCCAGCATCGACTTTGTATTTTCAACCAGGTGATCATGGGCTCGTTGAAGCTGTTGTTGACGTCGAAGAAGCTCCTCTTGTTGTCTATGCCCAAATTCAGCCAACCATTGCAAGGTTCCCCTGTACGAATGCACCAAAAGAAACAATGATTTGTATGTATGGATTTGAATATTTAATTTCATAGCATGGATTTCTCATTATATTTTACCTGCTCTCTTCAAGTGCTTCAGACTGAAATTTAGTGAGAGACTCAAGACCCTCAAGAGCTACAGACTGCCCATCTAGAAGTTGTTTTTGCTTCTCCAAGGAACTCCCTGCCATTGCTCCAATGTCATCAGCCTTACTTTCCAGAGTTTTCATCTTCGAAGACATTTGATCTCCAACTCTACCAATCTCCTTCTCAATTTCAACTGTTTCGTTCTTTAAGTTGTCTATTTCTCGACCCAAATTATCGTAAGAATCATGAAGCATTGACATTCCTTCATCCAATTTTTCTCTCATTATTTCTTGCCCTTCACTCAGCTTTGTTTGAGCAGCTGCAATTCCCTCAGATTGCTTATAAACAGCTTCTGAATGCTTCAATACAGTACTAACATGATCTTCTACATTCTTTGAACTTTGAGTCACTTGTTGGGTAAGAAGATCAATGGAATCCAAAGAATTCTGGATATTATCTGAACTCTGCAATAGATGCTCTGCTTTCTCCTCTATGTTCTCTAATTTATCTTCCGCAAATTGGGCAGATTTTTTTAGTTCATTTACCAATCTCTCTGTTTCATGCTTAAATGCACCGGCCCTACAATATTATAAAGTTGAAATTAGGGTTAATATTTGTGATATAAACTGATGAAGTTGAACATATTAAAAGAAACTATGTATATACTTACTGTAACTGATGGCAGATGGAGTTGGTCTCTAGATAGAATTCAAGATAAACCTTATGTGCATCCCCATTCAAGTGCTCAAGGCAGTTGACCATTCTAGACTTTGTGTCACAGTAAGGAAAAGGAGGCCTCCCGGTGTCCTTTTGAAAGCAATCGCTGAGATGCCAAGCTAACCTAGACTGCTTCTCTTGATCAGCAAGAATATCTGAACAACTGGCAAAGAGCCTTTGATAAGCAGTTCGGCGACAGGAACTCAGCCCTACCGACATTGTTTCCGCCTTCTCAACCAGCTCTTTCGCCTTCCGGCTGGTGAGAGGTTCCATGGAGAATTCAGCTACTGCATCTGTATAAATCTGTGCGTTCTCTGGAGGGTTCTTGAATGAATCACTCTCTTTTGAAGAAAACGCCCATCCCCATCCCCATGACTGGCCGGATTGCGAAAACAAGACTAAAATCCACAAGAACAAAAGACGAAGATGACCCATTTGTGTTGCCTTACTGACTGTTATGTAGCCAATCTGTTCAATTACCAATAACATTAAACATACATTAGAGAGACAAAACTATTTCTATGTTGTTATTCTTCCAAAGATAATGTATAATTATGCCTTCAATATATGTAGTACGCTTTACATGTGTGTGTGTGTGTGTGTGTTTGTGTGATGGATACGTATATATATAGAGAGAGAGGGGGGAGGAGAGAGTATGAATACTTGGAGGGCAAGTAAGGGAAGCCGGAGGAGTTATTATCTGAAAAAGACAGATTTGGAAGGAAATCAGAATGTTAAAAAATTACTGACTTTTGTAGGTTTCTTTCTTCATCTGTTTATGTTACATCACCTGAATTTGATTAATGAATATTAAAAAGGAATGATGGACATGATTTTCCACAATTGGAGTCTAATTTTCACACAAGTAGGACCAATAAAATTGCAACAATGGTGTGCTGTAGAAGGTATAAATAAAGGCCATTTTAGACATCCGTCTAAAAATAAAAATCAGAAAATTGTAAAAAAAAAAAAAAAAAATGTTTGATTAATAATTTCTAAAAATCGAATTTTAAAAAGGCTATAGACTATAATCTTTAAAAATAGCTTTCTATTTCCTAAATTTTAAAAAATTGTTTTTAGAAAACTGAATCAAACATGACCTTAAAATTTAAAAATCAAGAAAAGCACAATTCTGCTATATAACTGAGACAACACATAATTTTTTTTTTTTTTTGTTCTGGTATATATTGTGATTTAAGCGAAGCATGTCTAATTCTATTCTATTCTATTCTAGTCTATTCATATGTTTATTCGATTTCGTTAACTTTGAGGGAAGGAATGGACGGGACAGGGCTATATTCACCGCACACAACTGTGTTTGTGTGTGTGTGTATGAGATAGAGAGAGAGAGATACCTAGTCAGTAATGAAGTTTATTGCATTTGAAGACTAGTTGATGATCAGATTGTGATTGGAGAGACTCTATGCTGGTCTTCAACCCTGTGCGAAGGAAAGGAACACGAACACGAACCAGAGTCGCACCGCTACAATGCTCTTACACAACCTGTATTTATTACATACAACTCCTACAAAACTGAAAAGGAAACGAAAAAACGATGTGTCTCTCCCAAGAGGCATATATATATATATATAAGTTCAAGACAAACAAAAAAAGGAAACTTAAAAAAAAAAAAAAAAAAAAGGAAAATAAAAAATTAGAGGGAAGATGAAATAAGCGACAGGTTATATCGTCATTCAACAGACACGTGACTGTTACATTCCGACCGGAGCTCTCAACTCCGGTCTTATTAAAATTGAAGTAATTTTCATGATTTCTTGGGACCGCTTATTGACATATATAGAAGGAATGTTCAGGTTACTCATTCACATAGGAACGTTGGATGTTACTGTTTTGGATTTGTTTCTTAAATTTGTCAAATCCTAATAGGGCATGTCCCTGTAATTTAATGGTACCTTTTGAAGATTTAAGACACAAATTCAATGAAATGTTTTTTAAAAGAATTAAAATTTTGTTTTTCAAAAACCACTGATGTTGCCTATATGAAAAAACACCCATTTAGGTAAGTCACAAAAAACATTCATGCAAGTGACAAAGTGTTTTGAGGAGTTTTTTTTATGAATAGTTCACATAAGAGTGCTATGAGTTGACAAAAATATAATTTTCTTAAAATAAAAAAAAATGGGATATTCCTACTTGAAGAGGGAGGGGAGGGGTTAAAAAAAAAAAATCTTTCTTTAATTAGCATTTAACAAAAGATAGTTTATATATAATTTAAAATAAAGTAATTTAATTAACGATTATAGAACTTGATAAAAACTGACTCACATAAAAATTTAATGTGGTTATCTTAAAATTTTAACTCAAACACCGTTCTTCCAATAACATGACTATCTTAAAATCCTTCTAACTCAAGCACGATTCTTTTCATAATCTTGTTATCCTAAAATTCCATCTCATATATGATTATTTCCATCATTTTTTTTTTCCTTTTTTTTTATTTTTATTGGAATGCTTTTATAAGAATTCAATAAGAAATTAATTTTTACAAAATCTAGAACAAAATTTTCATTTGAAGTTTTGAATATCAACAAAAGTCGATGATTGAAGAATCTAAATTCTTATTTTATTAATTTGTTTGTGTTTATTTTATCATTGTTATTGTTTTGTTAAATTTTCAATTGTTACTTTTTTTTTAAAGTTATTTTTGTCTTTTTTCTTTTCGGTAAATAAAAAGAGTTATTTTTGTTAATTTATTTTTGGAGAGTTTTTGTTTTGAAAGGCATTTTATATTTTTGTTTTAAATTACCTATTTTCACACTGCTATTTAATGTTTTTCATCCACACTTTTGACCTTTTTGTTGTCTTGTTCCCACTTGAATTTGTTTGACCTTTTTCTCGTGAGAGAAAAAGAGTGTAGAGAGACAAGTTTCACACATAAAGAAAGGTTATCTCCTTACAATCCCTTATTTCAATGTAACTTTCGAAAAAAAAAATAAAGATAAATCCCTTATTTCATTGCACACATGTATTAATTTGATCTAAGAAATCACTTCTTTCTCATCGATGTAGATGATTTTTATGCAAACTACCGTCCACGTTAATTTCAAAGTTTTTTTGTTCTTCTCTATATAAATTTTGTATGTATATATGTATTTTTGTGTGGGGGTGTGTTTTTTTTTTTTTTTTTATATGTATATATGTTTATAATTTTGGCCCCTAACGTCAATATCCTGGCTTCGCCCCTGGTTTTATATTGAAAAATAAATTCAAATCCAATGAGTGAGAGATTTAAATTGAGGATACCAAAGACGACGTGGGCCGAATTCAACCCACGTGATGAAGAATGGGCCTAGTAAATGACCTGGGTCCGAATCAAGTTGCCACTAGGCAAGCCCAATGCTGAAGAGTGAAGTTAGAGGCCCTTAAAGGCGATCAGGCCTATAGTTATAAAAGCCTCAAGGACGAGCCCAATAGAGGAAGTTAGTTAAGAATCTTCTAGAACACTGTAAACAATCTATAAATAGAAAAAAAATAAAGGAGAATGGCGATCGAAATATTTGAAGTGTAATGAAATTCTGTCAATTTAGAGAGAGAAAATTTCTTGCATCTTCAATGGCGCCGTCCGTGGGAATCGATGAAGACTGATTGATGTTTGATTCAGAATTGATTCGATCCAGTATAATTCGTGAAGACGAAGCTTGATCGTTAAAGGCAGAATTAAGATCGATGAGATTGTGATTTGTCTGGCCGAATCCTGAATCCAGTTGATTTTGAGAGGTTCGCGTTCGATCTACGCAGCTCTCATCCGGTGAGCTGTACGGTCGAGATTTACGGAGATTGCTGAATTTGGCAGGTTCGTTGTTGGAGTAATTCAGATCCGGCTAATCACAATCGAAATTCAGTAAAGCTAGAATCCAGATCTAAAGCGTTCGCATTAGCGAAGTTCAGATCTGATCAGAAATCCGCGGTTAATGACTTTGCTACGATCCGGCATGATGATCGGATGAAAAAGTTCAAATCCAGTGGAGAATAGCCAGCAGATAAAGCTCGATGAACTAATGAACATGATCGAAGCTCTGAGAAAAGAAAATGCAGAGTTGAGAGCTGGAATGGAACGCCGAGAGGTTTCGGTTACGCCGCAACCGCCTCCGGTGGGCGAGAGAGGCATGCGGCCTGATGAAACACATCAAGGTGAGCAAGAGGGAGATAACCATATCGATTTCCATTGCGATGAGGACAGGATGAAGAATTTACAGCCAAATGCTCGTCGAGTTGAGGATAGAGAAGGATGTATACACCTCGATCCGCATCGTGAGCAGATCAAGCAGGAAGAAGCTACAGCTTTCAATCTGCATCAGGAAAGGTACAATTACGGACAGGAGATGGAGTTTGGTTGTCACAAGACTAGCTCGCCGTGGCAAAAAGAGTTCACTGAGGACAGGTCGTTCGATCCACCTTACCGGCCTTCAATGGCCACATATGATTATATGAGCTCGGAAAGAAAACCTACAGATCAAAGAATCGTCACAAGGTTTGAAAGAGAAAATGGGGCCCACCGTTTGGCAGCACGGATGGTAGATTCGCCGTTTACTGACGAGATCCTGAATGCTCCGAGCCCGAGGAAGTTTTCCATGCCTGTTTTGATTTTGTTCGACGGAATAACTGATCCGATTGATCATGTGTATCACATTCAGTTGAAGATGGCACTGAACACGGAGAATGAACATTTGATGTGTAAATATTTTCCTACAAGCTTAGCTGCGCCAGCACTCAACTGGTTCAAGAACTTGCCGAGGGGCTCAGTAGACAGTTTCCGTAGTTTGTGTGATCGGTTCGTAAGCCAGTACTATGGGAATAAGCGACCGGCAAAAGATATCTCTAGTCTGTTCACTATGAAGCAGTATGAAGATGAGCGCCTCCAAGCTTTTCTTACTAGGTTCAACCTAACCAAGAGTATGGTGATAGAGTGCCATCCTTCCACAGCAGTTCAGGCGTTCAAACTAGCAATGACTCATGGAACACCGTTCCACACAAGCCTGGTGGTGAACACACCACAGACCATGGACGAACTGAATGAGCGAGCTGATGGTTTCGTACGTTTGGAAGAGGAAGAAGCAGCTAACTCAAGGAAGACATATGTTATCTCCACAGAGGAGAAATCTAAAGCCAAGATTCGGTAGAAGCAAATTCTGCCACAACGTCACACTTCATGGAAGGTAGAGAAGAGGCCCAGAGATGAGGAGTTGGTTACTCCACTCAAGTCACCTCGCGAGGCTGTATCAGGAAAATAAAGATAAGTTTCGCCCTCCCCTACCAATCAGGCAACCCCTCAAATAGAGGGATAAATCTAAACATTGTGATTTCCATAGTGATTTTGGACATCAAACTAATGAATGCAGGAACCTAAAGAGGCAAGTGGAGATGCTGATCGAAAGGGAAGAGTTTGCAGGATACGTGCAAGGGCAGACACAGGAGCAGAGTCGACCGGCAGAACAAGTCAAAAGAAACCAGAAGCCGAGTCATCATAATACTCAGCCCGTTCAGATAACAAATGCAATTCATGGCCGACCTGAGCAGACAACTGAGTCCGAGGAATTGCTCCGACCTCGTCTCTGCTAAGCAC